ATATATATACCATGCCTTCTTTATCCGTTCATCTTTTGATAGAGACTTAGGTTGTTTCCACATCTTGACTACTGCAAATCATGCTGCAATGAACATGGAAGTGGTGATTATCTTTGATTTCTGGCTTTAATTTCATTTGAATAAACACTCAGGAATGGGATTGCTGGATCATATGATAGTTCTATCTTAATTTTTTAAGGAACCTTGATGCTATTTTCCATAGTGGCCATAGCAAGTTACATTTACATCGACAATGAACAAGGGTTTCCTTTTTTGTACATCCTCATCAACATTTGTTATCTGTTTTTTGATGATAACCATTCTAGGCACAGATACCTGATGATAGCCAGGTGTGGGGTGATATCTCATTGTGGTTACAATTTGCATTTTCTGATGATTAGTGATATTGAGCACTTTTCATATACCTGTTGGCCATTTGAATATCTTTTTGGAGGAATTTCTATTCAGTTCACTGGCCCATTTTTTAATCAGATCGTTTTTGTGGTATTGAGTGGTGTGAATTATTACTGATATGTGAATTGCACATATTTTCTTCCATTCTGTAGGCTTTTTCATTGTGTCAATAGTTTCCTTTGCCATGCAGAAGCATTTTAATTTGATATAAGTCCTACTTGTTTATTTTTGTTTTTGTTGTCAAATCCAAAAAGATCATTGCCAAGACTGATGTCAAGGAGCTTACCCCCAATGTTTTGCTTAGCAGTTTTATAGTTTTAGGTCTTGTGTTCAAGTTTTCAAGACATTTTGTGTTGTTATTTGTAAATGGGGTAAGATAGGAGTCCAGTTTCATTCTTTTGTAGTGTCTTTCTAGTTTTCCCAGTACCATTTATTAAAAAGACTATTTTTCCCCATTGCATCTTCTTGGATCCATTGTTGTAAATTAATTTAACATAAATGAGTGGGTTTATTTTGGAGTTTTCTATTCTGCTTCATTAATCTATATCTGAAAACTTGTCTGTTATTATGCCAATAGCATATTCTTTTGATTACTCTAACTTTGCAATACAGTTTGAAATCAGAAAGTAGGATGCCTCCAATTTTGTTCTGCTTTCTCAAGTTTGCTTGGCTATTAGAACATTTTTTGGTTCCATACAAATTTTAAGATTGTTTTTTCTATTTCTGTAAAAATGCCATTAGCATTGTTATAGCCTTCTAATTAATACTGGCCCTAATATTGGTTCCCCTACATTAAACCCAGCATGTATGAGGTTAAAACCAAAAGTGCTCATCCCCTTTCCCTGACTCTTTAGTTACACTAATATGTAAATATCTGCTTCTTTAACCTTTGACTCCCTGAGCTTTACAACTAAGTAGAAGTTAGAAATTGTAAAAGCCCAGGTGGCCTCATGCTAGGCTCAGACTACTCACAGGTCCTTGAAGTTTATTACAGGGAAACTGATGTCCAGAGAATATCAAGAAACTGAATCTTCCCAGAGCTTCCTGGCACCAGAATCCACCATCCACCACAGAGGCAGACAACCAAGGGTAGGCACGTGAAGAATCCCTTATCTCACAAGCTGTGCCTCCTTGCAAGCAGCCTAAGGCTGGTGGGAAAGCACTGACCAGCATGGTCATAGACTTCCCCCTCTCCACATTCCTCACAAACCTCTGAAACCTTTTCCTCATTTCTTAGTGGGTAGCCAGCAATTCTTAAGGCACTAGCCATTGCTTTGCTCCCTCTGCCTGGCCAAAAAAGTAAAGCTGTTTTTCCTTTTTACCCAAGACTCTGTTCTCATTATTTGGATTGGCACTGGGTTCAGAGACCAAACTTTCAGTTACAGGATGTTGATAAAGATTGCATTGGATATGTAGACTCCTTTGGGTAGTATGGACATTTTAACAATATTAAATCTTCCAATGCATGATCATGGAATATCTTGCCATTTATTTGTGTCTCCTTCAATTTTTTTCATTGACATACTATAGATTTCAGGATATAGATCTATTTCCATGGCTAAATTTATTCCTAAGTATTTTATTCTTTTTGATAGAATTGAGAATGGAATTTTATTCTTAATTTATCTTTCTGATAAGTCATTGTTAGCGAATAGAAATGAAACTGATTTTTGTGTACTGGTTTTGTATCCAGAATTTTACTGAAGTAGTTTATTAGTTCTAACTGGTTTTTTTGGTGGAGTATTCAGGGTTTTGTATATGTAGCATTATGGTATCTGCAAATGGAGATAATTTGACCTTTTTCTTTCCCATTTGCATGTGTTTTACTTCTTTTAATGCTCTGAGTAGAACTTTCAGTACAATGTTGAATAAAAGTAGAAAGTTTGGGCATCCTTATCTTGTTCCTCATCTTAAGAGGAATGATTTCACCTTTTCACTGTTTAATATGATGTTAGCTGTGGGCTTGTCATTTATGGCCTTTATGTTGTGGTAAGTTACCTCTCTCCCTAGTTTGCTGAGAGTTTTATAATGAAAGGATGTTGAATTCTGCCACTGTTTTTTTCTTCCTCTGTTGAGATGATCATATAATTTTTTCTTTCATTTTTTTAATGCAGTGAATACACTGATTGATTTTCAGATATTGAACCATCCTTGCATCCCAGGAATAAATCACACTTGGTCATGGTCTATGATCTTTGTAATGCATTATTGAATTAGGTTTGCTAATATTTTGTTGAGGATTTTTGTTTCCATGTTCATCAGGATAATTGGCTTTTAGTTTCCTTTCCTTGCAGTGTCTTTGTATGGTTTTGGTATCTGGATATTGATTGCCTCATAAAATGAGTTTGGGGATGCTTCCTACTATTCTATTTCTTGGAAGAGTTTGAGAAGGATTAGTATTAATTCTTTAAATGCTTGATGGAATTCACCAATGAAGCCATCTGGTTCTAGACTTTTCCTTTTTGGAAGTTTTGGATTACTGATTCAACCTTCTTACTAGATTAGTCTATTCAGATTTTCTATTTTTTCATAATTCAGTCTTGTTAGCTTGCATATTCTAGGAATTTATCAATTTCTTCTAAGTGGTACAATTTTTTGCATATAATTGTCCATAGTATTGTCTTATGATCCTTTGTATTTGTATCAAGTGTAATGTCCCTTCTTTCATTTAAAATATTATTTGGTGCCTTTCTCTTTTTTTCTTGGTTAAATCTAACTAAACGTTTGTCTATTTTGTTTACCTTTTCAAAAAATCAATGCAATTTGATTGATTTTTTGCACTTTCATTTTTGTCTCCATTTCTTTTATTTCAGTTCTGATCTTTGTTATTTCCTTCCTTCTTCTAGATGTTGGCTTAGTTTATTCCTCTTTTTCTATTTCCTTGAGTTATGAAGTTATGTCTTTTTTTCTTAATGTAGCATTTCTCACTATAGACTTTCCTCAGAACTGCTTATGCTGCATCCCTTGACTTTTGGTATGTTGTCTTTATTTTTATTTGTCTCAGGAAATTTTTTGAATTCTCTTTTAATTTCTTCTCTAACCCATTGGTTGTTCAGGAATATTTTGTTTAATTTCCACATATTTGTGAATTTTCCAGTTTTCTTCTTCTAATTGATTTCCAGTTTCATACTACTGTGATCAGAGAAGATGCTTGACATGATTTCAGTCTTCTGTGGCATTTCTGAATTAAATCCCTGTTGGCTATCAGAATCAAGTGATGTGGGGACACATCACTCAGGTGGTACCCACAAAATCTGGGGTGCATACATATGAACAAGCTCCTCCCAGGAAGATAAGGGTGACTTAGGGTGGCTAGGAGCGAGAGTGTGGGAGAACTCTGCAGCTTTCCCATTCTCAAGGGAGGATCCCAATCAGCCTCTAGGTGCATGTTAAATTTGAAACCTGACTCTCAGGCAGCAGCTTTTAAAATATGCAAATATAAACCAATCAGAGAAAGACTAAGAGAGGGATTTTTTGCCTCCTTTCTCTGTTCTAAGCCCTGGTGTAATAGCTGCAGCTAGTGCTGTCTTCCCTTAGTAACTGCTTTTTTGTTTGTTTCATCTTGTGGTTCTCGTGGATGCAAGCTCCATTGGCTTTCAGAGCTAAGACATTTGGAAGCCTATTCTTCTGGTGGGAGTGTTAAAAGTTGGGGCACAACGTGTGGGGTCCAAATAGTTTACTCCTCAGTGAGAAGCTGGGAGCTAGGTGTTCCTCCCCAATTGTATGTCCCTGTGCTGAGGGTGGTGCTTACGGCAAGAGTGTATCTGAGGGTTTTTTTTTTTTACCCATTTCAGTGTGGATATTTTCTCATTGCTCAATGCGTAGGAGTTACTCAGCTAGTTTCTTGATTTCTTTTGGAGAGAATTGTACCATGTGTAGCTGTTCATTTGTTGTGTCGTGGGAGAAGAAGCATTCAGGAGCCTTCTCTGTCACCATATTTAAAGACCGCCCATGGTTCTGATAATACTGTATTTGAACAATAATATTTTCCATCAGTCATTGGGCATACGTAAGAAGGATGTTATGTAGAGTGACTAAGAAGGCAAGGGAATGATGAAGGTTGAAGTAGATAGGCTGGAATACATAAAGCCTTTTGATGCAGTGCTCCAAATTTCTGTAGAATACCAAGATAAGGAGTCATTATAGGCCATCATCCAACCTTCTATTTGAGTCATGATTCCCTAAGAAAATATTTCCCATAATGTGTTATTCAACCTCACAACTTTAAAGAAAGGAGGCCCACAGTTAATTGAATCAGTAAATTCTATTTTTTGAATTCCATTCATAGACCTTAAAATTCCATTCTCTTTACTTCACACCCACAAGATCTGATAAAACAGTCAATAGATAGATCAAATCAGTCTTTAGATGCTGTAATATATAGCTGCCATAAAGGAGGGAGATGGGTTAATCAGATTACACGTTTGCATCCTCTAAATTAGCAGCAATCCACTGACACTCCATTTTTCTTGGACAATATATTTCAAACATGTTTTCTAACATGTTGGTGTTCATAACTAACATTTTCAAAAGAATATGTGTTAATTGGGAAAATATGGTATAGATGGAAACACTTAAAGACTCACCAAAAAAATATATTGTTCATAGGTTTTTTTCCAGCTTCATAACTAGTAAGAAGTCACAGTGTGCCACAAATGCCATCTTGAAAAGCAGGAGTTCTTCTTCAGTTTTACTTCCATTCCGAAATATTTTCTCACAAAGGCATTTTAAAATAGAAGCTAGAAAATCTAAGACATTCAGTGGCTTTTAACTTCAACAATTGTAATGGATAATTAAGAGTGCCCTTGAGTTTTATGTGGTTCTTCTAATATGTGGCCACATCCATGTTGTCTCAACAAGCTGATTCAGTGCTTTAACCGTCAGAAACTACAGCAGAGACAGATAAAGTAGACAAACATTAGGAACGTACAAAGGCAAATGCTATTTTCTTCTAGTGTGATTAATATGTAGGTCTTTATAGATCTTAGTATCCACAACCATCTCTGTACTTTCTTAAAAGTTATTTTATTTATATATATATGCCATATTCTCATTTAATTGTGTTGCTAACTTCTAAGAGGCACTCAAAAATGTTATCTTGTGGCTGGCCCTGTGGTCGAGTGGTTAAGTTCGCGCACTCTGCTTCAGTGGCGCAGGATTTCGCCAGTTCGGATCCTGGATGCGGACATAGAACCTCTGATCAGGCCATGCTGAGGTGGTGTCTCAAAATATGCAACTATGTACTGGGGGCACTTGGGGAGAAAAAGCAGAGAAAAAAAAAAAAGATTGGCAACAGTTGTTAGCTCAGGTGCCAATCTTTTAAAAAAATTTTTTAAATGTTATCTGGTTTCTAATTTATTATTTATTTGTTTTCCCATTTTGTGTCCCAGACACTGTGCAGTGCTTTGGATAATGGATAGAAACTTCAGTTCTTGAGTAAATAATGCTTTAAATCTCATACTGAAGGCAGTGATTTGATAAACATGGTGATATTAAAACAATGCTTAAAGGAGGTTGTTGTGTGTGAACTACAAAACAGGACATTTAGCCAGAGATGAAAAGGGGAAAGCAGGGAAGGAAATTTTCCTGGAGGGTTGTTGGAGCAGTTGATTGTTGATAATTACAGCACAATGATGTACTTTACCAGGGCCCTTTTCACTGCTCTTTATAACCAAACCAACTGGAATTATTTTCTTCTTCTTTTTTCCAGTTTTATTGAGATAAAATCAGTAAATAACATTGGGTATGTTTAAGGTGTACAATGTATGTTTTCATATATGTATAATTTGTGATCGATTTCCACTATAGGTTAATAAGCAAGATCCGTCACCTCGCATAGTTACCATTTTTTTGTTGTGTTGAGAACATTTAAGATCTACCTTCTTAGAAAATTTCATATATGCAATACAATACTTTTAACTATAGTCACCGTGCTGTACATTAGATCCCCAGAACTTCATTTTATAACAGAAAATTTGTACCATCTGACCAACATCTACACATTTCCCCCAAACTTCAGCCCCTGGCAACCACCAATATACTCTCTGTTTCTGAGTTCACCGTTTTTATATTCCACATATAAATGAGATCATACAGTATTTGTCTTTCTTCGTCTGACTTACTTAACTTAGCATTATGCCCTCAAGATTCATCCATGTTGTAGCAACCATGACTTCTTTATCTCTAAAGAGTCATGAACTTGTCCAAGTTAAGACTTCTCTAATTGTCAGATCCTCTGCCTACCACCTTTTCCTCTCTCACCTTGCATCATTTTAGATTTGAGACCCAATATGTCCATCCAACAAAGACATTATCTTATATGAAACATTTTGCTTTAGATATAAAGCCCTCAGTTTTTAACTCATATTATTTTGAGGCTTATGAATTATTTGAGTGCTTAGTCAATTAAAGTCAATTACTCCCACTAGATTATAGGATTCATTGGTATAGAAACTACTGGATGTACCACGGAATACAAAGCACTTAAAAGTTAAAAGTTCACTTAGTAAATACACAATTAATTTTAGTGTAATAAATTAGTATTTGAACAAAAAACAAATCAATAAATATCTGGCAAAATTGGAAGTCAGGAAAGATTTCAACAAGGAAAGAGTATCATATGTAAATTCTAGACACATCACGAACTATGACACGTTTGAGGAACTGAATATTATCTGTGAGCTTTAAAACAAATACTAGGGACAGGCCCGGTGGCACAATGGTTAAGTTCACATGTTCCACTTCTCGGGGGCCCGGAGTTCGCCGGTTCGAATCCCGGGTGCGGACATGGTACTGCTTGGCAAGCCATGCTGTGGTAGGCATCCCACATATAAAGTAGATAAAGATGGGCATGGATGTTAGCTCAGGGCCAGGCTTCCTCAGCAAAAAGAGGCAGACTGGCAGTAGTTAGCTCAGAGCTAATCTTCCTCAAAAAAAAAAATACTAATTTTATTAAATCAAAGTATTTGAGACACCTTTGCTTCTCTTGTATCATGCCATACAATTTTACAAAAGCAACAACCACAATATGAGTTTGTGCGTGTGTATTTAAATTACGTATTTAAAACCATCTATTAATTTCCATTCTTTCCAGGGCCTTTTTCACATCCTTGTTCCGCAGGCTATAAATTATAGGATTTAACATAGGAATCACAAGGGTGTAAAACAACGAGGACATTTTGTCTTGATCTAGGGAGTAGGAAGAGCTTGGCCTGAAATACATGAAGAGCATAGTTCCCTGGAAAATTGCCACAGTGATTAGGTGGGAGATGCAGGTGGAGAAAGCTTTGAACCTCCCCTCAGCAGAGTGGATCTTCAAGACTGACAGGATAATATAGCAATAAGAGATAAGAACTCCCGAAATGGTACTCAGTTCAATGAAGCCAAAAATGGTGAATAACACCAACTCATTGACCTGTATATCAGAGCAGGAAAGGATGAAAAGTGGTGGTAAATCACAGAAGAAATGATTAATCTCATTTGACCCACAGAAACATAAGCGGAATGTTAATGTTGTGTGTATCAAAGCATCTGCCGTTCCCACCAGATAAACCCCGGCCATGAGCAGGGAGCACACCCTGCTGGACATGTTGACTCTATAGAGCAAGGGGTTGCTAATGGCCTTGTACCGATCAAAGGCCATCACTGCCAGCAGTAGACACTCAGAATCTGCAAAGATACAGAAGATCAAGAATTGCAGAGCACAGCCAAAGAAGGGGATTGATCTGTTCTTGGCAAACAAGTCCACCAGCATCTTGGGCCCAACTGCTGTGGAATAGCAGAGGTCACAGAAAGAGAGGTGGCTGAGGAAGAAGTACATTGGTGTGTGCAGCTGGGAATTTATTCTAATTAAAATGAGCATTCCAAGATTTGCCAGAAGATTAACGAGATAAACAACCAGAAACATGGTAAATAGGGTTACTTTCATCCTAGTGTTGTTGGTGATTCCAAGGAAAATGAATTCAGTCATGGAGGAGCAATTTCCTCTATTCATTCTTCTTTTTCTTGTCTAAATTTTTGAGAAAATGATCAAGAAAAGGATAGATGCATGTTTAACTCTTCTGGACATCCACAAATATCCATGAGGCAGAACATAATTTCTTTCTGCAATTGTCTTTTTTATACTCAGAAAATTACCCGGTCATGTGTCATTCTTTAAAAAGGCATTGCAGTCTGTAAAACAATAATAAAAAATACCTGGAATAAGGAGTTGAGAAACTTTGATCTAAGCCTAGATGCCATTCCTGAAGTATGCGACTTCGTACAAGCTCTTTAATTTCTCTGAGCATTACCTTCTTTATCTCAAGGAAGAGATTTGGATGATTTTAGGTCTCATTACATCTCCAAAATGATACAGAGGAAACATCAAGGTTAGAGAGACCATATTTTAGGATACAGGGCGAACCATTTTCTATGCTGGAAAATAATCACATGGACACAAAAAAACGATTTCCATGGTTATGTTCTTCAGAAACAGCGTTGGTTTAAATGATTTTGTGTTACTTCTAGACACAATGAGCATCTCTAACTGATAATAATGAAAAAATTATGTTACTGGTCTTGGTCTATGTTGTCTTTAGTATTTGGTGAGACAGGAAATAAACATTATTGACCTTTTCTCTAGAAGTGTGGTATTGCTTTGTCACAATATTTGTTACCTATTTGTGGAGTGGTCTGGTGCCCACGGAGGAGTCTCTTGACCAAACAAAGAAGAGTCCTAAAAAGAATTTGAAACAACAGAATTTAACATATGCATTTGCATCTCTTTGGATTTCAAATAGTATTTTATATTAAAAAATGGAAGGAGTACGAGGGACAATAAATGCTTCTCAGATATATAGGCTTCTCTTCCTTGTGTACGTTTGTATTTATGTGTGCATGTCATGTCATCTGTTTGCATATGTGTATGTCTTTGTTGATATATAAGAGATAGTAATGTGGGTGATGGATACATTTTTTTAGACTTTAAATATGGCATATGGTCCCCATGGTGTTATTTGTATATGTTTTTTGTAATGTGGTACCTCAATTCCTTTTAAAATTTAAAAAACCCAGTAAAATTCATGTATGTGCTTGCTCAGTGATAAAAGGCTTAAAGGCTTTCCAGTAAACCTAGATAAAAAGAAAATGATTAAAATCTTATTTAGTGAAAATTAATAATTTCAGTCAAATTCTGTCAGTCCTGAGAAGAAAAGATCATCTGTGGCCCTTAAATTTCAGTTTATTAAACTGAATAAACAGGCATAAAGTGATTCATTTACAAATCTCTCATTTTTTTCCAAAAAATTAAGTTTTTTCCCCATATAGTCTTTAAATTTGGAGACTTGAGAACCTACCTGAGATGAGTAGGTCTTCAGTAGCTAAACAATAGGCAGATGACATTTTATTTTACCAGGTAACATTTGGGACTTAAATCTCTGAAGCTGTTGCCCTTAGGCTTTGGTGTTATGTAAATATGTCATTAATTATATTTCTGGTTCTGTATATTCCCCCATGAATACAGTGACAATTTCAGTAAAGACTGAGTCTTTATGCTTCACTTACTGTCACTTAATTGGTCTATGTTAGGAAAAAAAAACTGCAAATGATATTTATGATTGCTTCACAGCTACCTCCTTCTGTAGTCAAAGCAGACTCCAATGAAATTCAAATAGTACCCTACTTAATCCTTTCCACCTCCTTTCTATTGTTCATTTTGTTTCTTCCATTTTTGAAACATTCTCATCTATGACCATGTTTATGAATATTACTAATCTTCAATGACATATTTTTTTCTAAATATTACTCATATACTATAAGTCCACCCTTTAACGTGTATACTTCTTTGGGTTTCAGTATATTCACAAGGTTGTACCGCCATTACCCCTACCTAATTCCAGAACATTTTTCATCATTCCAATAAGGAACCCATAACTATTAGCTGTCACTTCTCTTTATCCCCTGTCCTCAGCTTCTGGCAATCACTAATCTACTTTCTGATTCTATATGTTTCCATATTCTGTACTTCTCATGTAAACAGAATCATACAATATGGGTTTTCTTGTGCATCAGGCTTCTTTCACTCAGCATCTTGTTTTCAAAGTTCATCTATGTCTTTGCAAGTGTCATAATTTTGTAGCATTTTGTGGCTGAATAATATTTTCTTCATAGATATGACACATTTTGTTGATTTATTTATCAGTTGATGAAGATTTGGTTTGTTTATACATTTTGGCTGTTATGCATAATGATGCTATGAACGTTCTGTTAATGCTACCTTTCAAGACCACTCTCATCTCCAAGTATTTTCTTACCCCCATCCCCTCGTTACATGTCACTTACATGCATTTCATTCATCTTATGATTCCATCACATTCTCCACACTTAATACTCTCTTTCTTGAATTATATTTAATTTATTCATATAAGAATTTCTCTATTACACTTAAGGTTTCAGGAATAAGATCAATGTTTATTTTTTATATTCCCTGAAGTCGCTAAAACAAGGATTTTTCAAGGTAAATGCTTTCTACATATTTATTGTTAAGTACTTCAGACTACTAAAAATGGAAGGTGATGAACAAAGAATAAAAATACACTGGATTTGGGGATTTTTTTCCATTAATATAGCTCATGTGTACAAGAATGATTCACTTAAACATGTTTGCATGGATAATACTTTTTCTAAAAAAAAGCAGAGTTACACTGTTTTTCTAAAAATAATTTTAGTATGTGATTTTCCATACTAGTTCTTTGCAAATTGAGAAATACTGGAATTTTCTCTTTTATATCCTCCCTAAATACTTCCCAAGAGATAGCATTGTTATTCCCCATACTTCTTGAACCTTGGTCTACCATCTTGATATCTGATATGATATGACTACCTCCAAAGATCCCAGAGCTAATGTTGCTTTCACAATGACCTGAGATTAAAATATCTGTCACTCTTCTTTCTATATGTGTGCTATTCAAGTATTGCTACATTCAATGGCTTTGCTAAGTACATGCACAGCAAAAAGAGATCACATACTACACACTCATGAATTTAATTAAAATGTTAAAAGCTATTCATAAAAGAATCTGGAATGTGAATTTTAGAGTCTTACAAGGGGCTCATGATAGTTTTGGCACATTAAAGATGACTGTACACATCTTTACACACTTTCCTTAGAGACAGAGTGCCTATTTATTACCCTTTTGAATTTTTCTTGTCTTTTAAATGCTTTGACTAACAGAAATTGGAAGAAATATTGTGTATCACTTCTGAATCTAGCCTTTAAGAAGATAGTCTCTGAAAGCCATGAGATGCCGCATAGGAAGTCCAGCTAACCTTCTAGAAAACCATTTGACACACTCTGAGGTTACATGCAGTGGGAAGGGGAGCACTTGAGTCAATCTTTCTAGCCATTCTCATCCTGGAGACAGTTATGAAAGACCCTACGGCCTAGACCAACATCTAGGTCACCATGTGACCTCAGTCAACACGAGGAAACAGAGAATATAGCCCAGTGGCTGCTATTTTAAACCATGTATTTCTGGGATAGTGTTTATATAAGAAAAGATAACAGAATGTAATGAGATAATTTTTTCCAGGAAACATTTATTATTATTATCAGACGCTTTTTTGGGATAATTTGATATTACTGTTATGTACTATTATGTAAGATAGATAGCTGATAGATAGGTAAGTAGACTGTTAGAGACAGATGTTAGATCAATAGATGACAGATAGATAGATAGATAGACTGAAGAAAATACTTGCAACTCTTACTTCTGATAAAGAATGTGTAGCCAGAATACATAACGAATCTCGTCAAAAATAAGAAAACACACAACTCAATAAAAAAATGGAATTATTTGAAAAGATACCTCACCAAAGAAGATATATAAATGTCAAATAACACTTAAGAATGTGCTTAGCATCATGTTATTAGGTAAATATGAGTCAAAGCAACAGTGAGAAACCATGATATACCTTAATAGGCCTAAAATTAAAAATACTTCTTATACGAAATATTAAGGAAGAAGTTGTGGAACCTAAACTCACATGCACTGCCATCGGGTATGTAATATGCTATATCATTTGAAAACCAATTTGACAATTTCAAAGGATGTTATACATATAGTTGCACTATCATCCAACTATTTCATTCTTGAGTATTTACCCAAGAGAATTTAAATCATTTGTTCGTATAATGACTTGTACATGAATGTGATAGCAGTTTTATTTTTAATAGCCACAAAACTAGGAACACAATTCAAATATCCCTCAATTGGTGAATGGCTACACAAATGGTGATATATTCATTCATTGGAATACTAACATGAAACAATAGAAATGAATCTCAAAATAATTATGGTGAATGGAAGGAGGCACCTAAGAGACAGTATATACTGTGTGATTCTACTTACACAAAATTATATAAAATGTAAACTAATCTATAGTGACAAAATCGATATCAGTGGTTGCTTGATGTGGAGTGAAAACGAGGGATGAAAAAGGAGCACAAGGAAATTTCAAGGGGTGATGGATATTTTCACTGTTTTCAGGGTGGTGATGGTGTAACCAAGGATATTTGGCAGAAAGAGAAAAAAATAGTACCTTCTATTAATAGCTACATATTCATCAAATTATCCCACCATTGTTCTATAAAATGGCCCATGTAGAAAGAAAAGAAAGGCTGTTTCTAGACTCAATTTCTTTATCCAACTATCTCTAAGTGTTTGATTCATCCCAAATTCTCCGTTCCTTAGTTTCCTTACCAGAAATACTTGGTCTAGATGATTCACATGAATATTCCTAGTACTGAAAAGCTGGGAAAGAATCACAAAGCAGTGTATGATGGTCTAACAGATTCAGAAATAAACATCTGAAATCAATTGTGCCTACGAAAGGTGAAAATTTTGATAACAGAAGACTTATGTTTCCTTTTTAGAAATGTGTATATTTGAAATATACAAATATATATTATATATACCTTTGAAAATTATCAGGACAGTGCTTTCTTTTTCTTACTAATCTCGTCTATGTACCCTATGTACCAGTCAGAAGAAAGGCCATTCATTATTCTCCAATTATGTTATGTAGTTTCATGTATTTGCATGATTTCCTTCAACTTATTCTTACCTTATAAAAGCTTTCCTTTGCCTCTCCCCATCTTTCTAGCTCTATTACTACCACCATTAAGCAGTTATTTAAAAAAAAAAACTGCCCATTAAGAAAACCCTAGATTCAGATAGCTTCAAGTTTTATTAGACAATTCACACAACTGATACATGAGTAACATCAACCTTGCCTAAACCCTTCAGAGAACTAAAAATGAGGAACACATTTCCAGATTTTTCAATGAGGCTAAAATGATAATGGCATCAGGTGTGGAGAAGGAGCATAGAGCTAATAACAAGGGCTTTTACTCACCAAGGCTGATGTGGCCACAGCCACTCTCCAGCGCCAAATGTGCCAAGAGTGAATACAATCATCAGACATACATGGCACGTTCCCTGAGGGTCCAGCCAGCATCTCACAAATTGATTACATTTGATTTCATTCATCTGGAAGAATCAGTACTTTATTCTTACTAGAATATGAGTTACTCTCAATATGGATTTATCATTTTTGACCAAAATTCTTTTGTCAAAACTACTGTCTTTGGATTTATAGAATTCTTTATTCATCATCATATTCTGTCACATAACATTGCTTCAAACCAAGTGGCTCATTTTACAGCAAAGGAAACGTGACAATTTGCTTATGCTTAAAAACTCTTTAGTCTTACAACATTCCCCATCATCCTAAAGCACATGACTTTGTTGAAAACTTTACAGGTTTGTTGAAGGCTTCATTTTGCCACCAGTTAAGCCAACACTTTCTGGGGCTCGGATCATGTTCTCCAGAGTGCAGCATGTGCTTTAAACTGCTGTTATATCTATGATGCTTTTTTCCCCAATAGCCAGGATTTTGAGTCTGGGAATCAAAACGTGGAAAAGGAGGTAGCATTTCTCACTATTCTTCTTAATGGTTCACTAACAAAAATTTTGCTTCCCATCCTCACAATTTAAGGTTTGCTGGTCTTTGTTCCTAAAAAAAGAAAGAGAGAGAAACAGAGATGGATAGATAGATAGATAGATAGATAGACAGATAGATGGAGGTAATTCTTCCTACAAGGAACACAAAAATGATTCCATTGAACCAGATGCCAAGACTGCTACCTGTTCACTTTGAGAACTTCATGCTACTTAACCAATAAGCAAAAAAGGATTTCTCTACTGTTTGCATGATTTTTCTTGAATATGAAGGAAACATTTGATTGCTGCTACACAATGAGTGTAGTGGGGAGTGTTCCTGGAATGCAGGAGAGACTCTGGGGCACCTTTTAGAAGTCTCATATCCATTATTTAAAATTTAATAAAATTCTATAACAGTGTCAAATAGAAAGAACTACTAATGATATTCATACTTGAAGATAAAGTTTTTGGCCACTTCATAAGACAAGAAATCAAAACAACCTAGATGTTTGCTGAAGTTAAAGAGAACATGGAGTAGGTTGTGGAAAAAAGGCAGTTATATGTGCCATGTATGATCGTGTGACCAGGAGCTGAAACTAAAGCTGCAGGACTTATGAGTATTTTTTTCTTTTGCTTTGATGTGAATATATTTGTAAATATATTAACCAATATTCCCCTCCTCTCCCATTCGCCTACTTCCTAACACAAGATATAGTAAGAAGGGTTCACCTTCTATCTCGACATTTTAGCAAGCTGTAGGATATCAAAGGTTGTATGTGACTTGGCTGTAAGAATCCTAAGTCACCCATATGAATAAAATGACATAGGAAACTTTGAGTATACTCTTTTTCTTTAAGTTGTATACATCTGTTGAAAAAATAAGCATACTTTTCTGCTGTCTTTTTTGAAAGTTAAATATGATAAAATGAAATGTGTATGAGTGGCAAGTTGAAAAGGGTTGAAGTGTTTGGGATCTTGTTGTTAACTTGGTTATGGCTGGGAACTACATTGCCCAAATCTTCTTCTCAGTTTGGTTTCAGAATTATTAAATTAGTAAAATTAGTAAAAAGAGGAATTTTCATGACATCTGAACATAAATCTCCTGTTCCCACAATATTTATGGTGGTTCGGTTCTGCTACTTTTACTGAAATGAGCATTAGGTGGCTTCAATAATTGCACAGGAACCATACAGGCTTCAGCAAAAAGCACAGGGAAGGCCTTACTCAAATTATAGGTGAACGGGTGTCCTCAGAAATCCTGACTATGCTAGATCAGGAAATTCAGGCCTTGCTAGCTAGCACACAGTGTTGGGAATTTAGCAACCTTTGGAGGCCTCAGGATGATGAAATCTAGGTGCTACTTGTAGAATGAGCAGTATAGACCATCTAGAAAGCTCAGCAGATGACAGCAGTCTCCAGAACCTTTACTAAGCAGGAACACCTGAGTTAAGGTTTCACCTAAGTGCTTCTCCAGATTGAACATTGGAATCACCAGTGGACCTTGAAAAAATACTGATATCCTCTATTTCTAGCTATTCTCTCGCTTGGAAACAGCTATATTTTCTCATAAGTGACATAATATTTTGTGATTTAATTATCATTGAGTATCAAAAGGCCGTGGTGTAGCAAAAATAAGATTTTCATTTGCAGCTGGATATGTAAAATTACAATGTAGAAACTCACTAATAGATAGATGTTGGCACATGATGAGAACTTAGGGGGCATGAAAAGCTACGTTGAGATATGTTGCATTTGATATTGCTCTGTGTGATTCTTCATAAGCTTAATCAAGTAAACCTTAGCTAAGGAAATATGAAACAATATCATATTACAGAGTGCTGTAGCCATGAGTGACTGTGTTCTCTTCTTACAAAATGGAACAACGGAAATGCTCAGGGGAAGCATTTTTGGTCAGAAATCCAAAGAGAGAATTCTTAAGTGAATTTAAAACTGACAGCAACTGGGGCTGTATCTTGTGGATTTTTACAACAAAAAAGTGCATGGATTTATACTTGCTTCTAGACTTTGATTTTTCTGGGTCAAAGCTTGTAAATATATAGTATCATAGAGTCAAATTAATAATAATAATAAATAATGTGCAGCAAAAATATCAGTTACTGAAATACTTTTTGCAATGATACACGTCCTCCAATTTCAGTCTTCAAATACACATTTCCTGTGTGGTATTCCACCATGGCATGTGGGATGATCTCTCCACGAGGACTCAGGTGATACATTAGGTAACTGATTCTGTTTCTGAGATGCCAGAGAATGTTCTACACTCTCAGTAGTACTTTAGTGTATGAAAAATAAAAGATAGAAAGGAAAATAAATATTTTGCCTTGCAATTAACCTATATTATTCAAGCTGATACTTAGAAAAAGATTCCAAATTACTTTGGAGTAGAGAGGGTGTAGAAGGTTATCAACACATTGTTAAACTGCACTTCAGAAAATGTATTTGGGGGCCGGCTCCGTGGCCAAGCGGTTAAGTTCATGTGCTCCGCTGCAGGGGCCCAGGGTTCAGATTCTGGGTGCGGACATGGCACTGCTTGTCAGGCCACACTGAGGCGGTGTCCCACATCCCACAACTAGAAGGACCTGAAACTAAGGTATACAACTACGTACTGGGGGGTTTGGGGAGATAAAGCAGAAAAAAAAAAAAAAAAAGATTGGCAACAGTTGTTAGCTCAGGTGCCAATCTTTAAAAAAAAAAAAGAAAGAAAATGTATTTGATTTTGTATTGTTGCTTTCCTAACATTTCTGACTCTCATCATCTTATGGTAGATTATACATTTTAATTAATATTAGATATCATAAAATATATATAATTAATATCAAGTACTCAAAATGGTACAGGCCTTATTCTCAGCATTTATTCAGTTAACCATCAACAATCAATGACATAGATACTATATTTTCCCCATTTTACAGATAAGTTAACTGAGGCATAGAAAAATTAAATAACTTAGTCAAAGTGCCACTGACTAGCTGGGTGCAGAGCTGGCATATGAACCAAGAGAATCTGGCTTCTTCCCTCATCCAGTAATCTACCCTTGTAAATGAGATATTCTACATATGAACACACACACACACACTTTTCTGAGGCATTTACTATATCCATTAAGACCAGCTTATGACTAGTGCTATGTGGCAAGCTTATATTAATAATGACTATAATCTATATAATGATTATTACATGCAATGTAATATTCTAAACACTTTACATATAGTTCATTTAATTGTCACATAAAAAAACTAACATTGGACTTTCAATGCAGTTACTATCATTATCACCTTTCTTTTACAGATGAGAGAACTCTGGCACAGAGAGTTTTAGAGCTAAGATGTGATAAAAAGAGGATATAACTCAAGGTCCTGATTCCACGCTTTGTGATACACTGGCTCTCTATAAGCTAAATTCTTGCTATTAATTCCATATTTTGGATAAGAACTTTGAGGCTTAGAGTAACGTCACAAGTCATTCAGATAGTAGTTGACAGGTATAACTCAAATTCAGGTATATCCACTGCCAAATCTTGTGAGAACAGACATGAGGGTCATTAGAATATTAATAGTGTGTGCCCTGTGAGACACGCTAAGTTGCATAGTATTGGTGAAGGGAGAAAGGAATGACTCATGTATTTACTGAAAAAGCAGGGCACGTGTTCTTGAGAACTTCACATTGATCATCCTTTCTGATAGTCTAAGAATTCCATTTAGAGAAATGTGAGAGGAAAGAGAAAAAGCCATGAGATTAAAGGCAAGAGAAGGTAGAGAATCCTGGATCCCTGCTTTAAAAGGGAAAGAACAAAAAGATCCATTCAAAATACTATGGTTTACTAAATTCTTCCCAAATATATAACAAGAACAATCTAAGCATAGAAAAGAAATTAATTCAAACTATCAGTAGCCAGCCATGCTTCAGTTCTCTTTTCTTTAACAAAAAAGCTTATTTAAACAAAGTGTTTCAGATCCCTGTGAAGCTATAAAAGAAAGAGTTATGCAAGGTAGATGACTTTGTGGGTACAATATTAACTGATGTGTGGTTTCCCAACTCTTGGGACACAAATCAGTGGTTCTTCCTCTCAAACCCACAAAAACTCATTTTTGCGCCATTAAAACCAGTCTAGTAACTACAGAAGCTACTTAGCAAGGAAGAAGTTATTTTCCAATTACCCAGGTGAATAGTTTCACCAATAGAACCAGGAACTTTTATACGAATTCCTATGTCAGCAGGGACCCAAGAACTGAAGGATTCCAAACATGTTCATTTCCAAGGGACACCTGGGGAATAATTTGTAGGGTTATTGCCATTGTGATTTTTTTTCTAAAAACACATTGGTAATTATAATAGAAATACTGCTATTGTTAATTTAAATAGGAAATTTTCACTCTCAGTAGTATTGGGGTTTTTATTAATGACACTTGGATCCTAGAAAGGATCCCCTTTATTGTGGAGGAGTTTTGCAAATAGTTCAAATAATTAAAAATATAATTATTGCCATTTAAATTATTTCCAAAACCACATGGAAGCTCACAAGATTACCTATTATTTTCAGTACTAAAAATTGATTTTTTTTTTTTTAGTGACATTGAAGAGTGAGCCCAGTGGAGGCCTCTGTAGATCTTGGTATCAGAAAGTGCTTTCTGAGAAGATGGAAGAACTTATAGATAAGTATCTTATGGCAGAGATCATCAAAGTGATGGCAAAGCCACCTAGTTAGTAAATACAGGATCTCATCATCAACTTAATTAGTCTTACATACCTTGTGCAATATTTAAAGGCTAGTTGTAGTTAGTGGAACTACACTAATTACATTATAGGCTCTACATTTTTTTGAACAGCATAAAATGGGTTTAGTGAATGTCATATCTGCAGAATCTTAGAGGTGATCTTGTTAAAATGCATATCCCAAACAAATCCACTTCTAAATCAAAATGAAAACTGGTCAGACTACTTTGGTTTACTCATTTGTAAGGGCAAGAATTTCACAACTTCAATCCACTATGGAAGTTCTACAAGTTGAAAAAATTTCCATTATGGTGAGCTCAAATAAGAATTTAATTTTTCCTCTTCATTTGCAGTGTGATGCTTCTACCTACATGTGCACAATATTGAACTTATTTTATGATTTGGGACAGTTTAGTGACAGGGTTGGTAAAGTGCAAGTAGACTCTTTAAACAAAAATGAAAGTTAGTTATTTTAGCAGAATATGGCCATATTGGGAATTTAACAAAATTTTTATTTACTGTGATAATAAGGATAGTAATGAGATAATTTGAGAAATGTTTTAAAAATTTACTACATAAAACTAATTTTCCAAATAGGCTTTCTTTACAAATTTACATTTTACAAAATGCAACTGTTTGGAATTTTGTACATTAAAGGATAAAAATACCCACTTTCTCTATTCCTACTCTTGAGGGAGGAGAGTGATAACCTATCACTAACCGAGTGATCTATTAGAACCTGTGCGCAGAGGTCCAAGCCTTTAGGATTGTTGTAGAAAGAGACCATTCTATTTGCCTTTGTAAAACAATACTTGCAATTGCTGAACAATTCCTGCGACTCTGCACCACTCCATTGTGATTCTAAATGTCCCTGACATAAGAGATAAAGGGTAAAATGGGATGGAGGGAAACTTTCTTATAACAGTAAGCTAATTGTACTTATTATTTGAGTGCCCTAGAAATCACAGCTGTTAGGCATATAGATAGAGGTAAGATTTACCTTTTTAATATCTGATCAACCTGTATATCACAAGGATGATACGGGATGTTAGTTTTAGATTTGAGTATGCAAGGAAGGCACCACAGATGGTATCACTTTGCTACACCTGATTTTAAATTATCTGATATCAGAAAATTGCACAAGACTTTGTAGGCAACTGATCAGATATCTACCATGTATGAATTACTTACAGAAGAAAGAGATATAGTATATACATAATTCAATAACCTCTATTTTCATTGAAAAATTTAAACATGTATAAGCCTTCCACTTGAGGTAGTAGGTGACAATTCATAGTAGGTTTTTGCTCCCATTGAGAACTTCTAGGGAGAAAGAAAGATAAATTACAAGTATATAGAAGAGAAACTGTCTACTGCCTCAATACTAGACCTGGACACTAAGAATTAAAACCATACTTTAATGTCTACATGAACATCACTTTGCTATTCCTGTTTTCATTAGCATCATTTAATATTTCCAGGAGTTTTTTGCTCAGGCAAATGTTTTGATTGCTCATTATAGAAATGTCCTGAATAATCTGTGGGTTCTTCAATGGAAAGCAACAACAGACAGTTTATTTCCTAAATTCTTTGAATCTCTTGCCATAAAGGTCTTACCTTGTTTCCACTAACCTGGACTGTTGTCTCTTGATCTCTAGCCAAACCTAATCAAACTCTTGCTTTGAAAGACCCACCTTAAACCAAACTTCTCATTCTTAATAAATTCTCTCCTTATTCCTCTTCCCCCAGAAACAGCCAAAGCTCTGTGAGGTGGTATTCTCCCTTACTAAGGTAAGCAATAAACTCAGCTTTGTCTTTTCATTGGTAATGTTGGTTATATTTGGGGAATCACTTTTTGCATCATATATATATAAACTCATCAATATTGACTAGAGTGAGCATAATTCAAGAAAGGTTGTAACTATTTAGAGGTGAGCTAAAGACCTCCAAATGTCCCTGAAGGAATTTGCCAATTAGGAATATGGGCAAGAGACTGAGAATATGGGCTTTTACAGAGTTTCTGGCCATTACAGTGCAGGAATGTCAAAATTGGACATGTGAGGAACCTCAAACAAATGGTAGGTATCCTATTCCAGACATCTTCTAAATTCAAAGCTTTATCATGCAATAAATGGAAAGCACTAAAATTTTTGGAAAAGCAACATGGAATTTCCCCCAATTTTTTAGTGCTTAAGATACAAAGGTCTGCTGTGAATTTAGGTTTTGAAAATAAAACGTATAAAACTGTGGAGAGATCTGTCATATGCCACTGACAATCATAAACCACATTTTTCTGAGAAACTAGGCACATATACCCTCTAAGAATAAAAGAAGAAGACTTCAGCTGGGCTCAGGAAAATTTCCAGAACGTTTGGTGATTGAACAGGATTAGGGTACCAAAATTGGAGACTCATGGGGCCTCAAACACACAGTGAACTCCCTTTTGCGACATTTGAAAATTCTAAAGTTGCTTGGGGTAAGAGATTTAAAATATAAGCCAGAAACCACCAAAACACAAGAGTGGAAACTCTCATATTGTCTTCTTGCTAAAGAGATAAAGGGAGCCCCAGCCCATAAGTGGAAGCCCTGGATTGCCATGCCCCAGAAATAGCGATGAAATGGAGGTACACTGCATCTTGCCAACACCATAAGGAAGATCCAACCCAGATCAGTTTCTAATTGATTTGAGCTGATCATCCTTAACTTTGTCAGAGGAATGATTGAACTCTCTTTGGTGAGAGAAATCATCTGGAACATCTTTCTTTATAGACACTATGTGGCATGTA